GGGCGGGGGGGGGGGGGGGGTTCTTCTTAAAAGTGAGGAGTCACCCATATGGCTCCCTCTGCCACCTCCCACCTCCGCCCAGATGTGGACTTCCCTAACGCCCGGTGCCTCTGGTCTCAGGGTCACAGAAATGAAGTGGGGGTGGGGTGTGTGGGGGTTGGAGACAGCGGCTCAGCTCCCTGCCTGTCCCCTGAAGCCTTAAAGGACCCTACGTTGTTAGAGTTGGACGGGACTCCGGAGATGACTCATCCTTACCCTTCATTCCTTTCCTTAAATGAGGAAATTGAGGTCCAAAGAGAATTCAGCTCATTCAAGGTCATGCTGTTAGTGAGGGTCTGAGTTGGGACCAGAACCCAGTTCTGATCTGTTCAGGTTTTCCATGTTCATACCAGGGGCTCCCCCCTTCCCTAGAGCCTCACTTTTCTGCCGTATGAAATGAGGATAATAACAGTACTTCCTACATTAGATTGTGAGGAAGATCAAGTGGTATAATTAGCATGAAAACTTTGTAAACTCTGCAGAGATGTAGTGATGTTAGTTGTCTGACTCTCCAAAATTGAGTTTAAAGCACTCACTTTTACTTACTTTGCATCTGGCCCAAAGTAGAGTCACAGTGCTTGACAAATAGCAGGCCCTTTGTTGTATAAATGAGGACTCATGTTTACAACCTGGAGAACTTGCCCACCTAGTGGTATTATCTCTTCTATTCTGGCTGTGGGATATAAACTGAATATGCTTGAGGGAATTCCTGTTAAATAAACTTGGGTATAGGCCAGAAAAATGGTACTGTGTGTGTTATATATTTATTTTTTATTGCAGATGACAGGATTGGACATTGAGAAGGACCAGATTATTGAGATGGCCTGTCTGATAACTGACTCTGATCTTAACATTTTGGCTGAAGTAGGTGATGCGATATAATCCAGTCATACTGTTTGGAGGACATTGGAAATCTAAAGATCATTTTTTCCCCAATCTCTTTATTTACAAAATAAGAAAACTGAGGTTCATATAAATTAAGGTCCAAAGTAATGTGCTAGGTCATGGTAGGATTGGAATCAAAGTAATCCATCTAGTACTCTGGTTAATTTTTCAATTAACCGTGCTAAAAATTTACAGAAACATAAACTCCATCGTTTACTGAGAGCTTACTGTGTGTCACGCGCAGTTCTAAGTGCTTTTACATGGATTCATTTTTAATCCTCACAACAACTATAAGGTAGGTACTGTTATAATGCTTATTTTATAGATGAGGACATTTGGGCACAGAGGTTGAATAATTTTCCCAAGGCCACTTGGCTAGTTATTGAAGAAGTCAGTAATTTTAAGTAGGCAGTATCAGTAAAGTGCTCCTAACCAGTAGGACAACCAATTATTGTCCCATCAGGTTTGGTGACTCATGGCAAAGTTTACATCTTATAAGCTTGAGTTAACTTTATATATAAATAAGTTATATAAATAACAACTCCGTATACACAGTTCTGCCTTTTTAACTAGCACATGTGATTTCATCTAGATCTATATGAAGATTTAAAAATTTCTGTTGATGCACATCCATAAAGTGCCCTCTTGTTCCCATATTGGGCATGATTAAGGTTTGTACATGCTGCTTTTAACTGAAACATTAAGTGAAACAAATAAAACACTCTTGTTGCATTTCAGCCACTTATGAAACATTTAATAAGTATGTGACACCATCTGATTGGTAGGGGGTGAAATCCCTGACCTGGAATAACTCTGTCTATTTTATACTGTCAGCAGTATTCAGAGTCATTAAGAAATTCTAGAATAGGGACAAAGTAAAGATGTTGTGGAAAAGAGAGTCTTGTTAAAATAAGTTTCTAGAGGGTAAGATTGATGTGTTATTGGCAGTGGATAAATTTCATAAATCTACAGTGGAGACTATCATTTATTTTCCTGGGTGGGTAAAAGAGGTGAGAAGGCATTTATAGACAAATTGCTGTATCTGTGGAGTACCAGGCTTATCTTCCTGAGATCAGCTGAAGGAGAATCATGAGACTTTCTATTTCTGTCATAACAACTGTTTTTAAAAACTTTATATAAATAGAGCACTGAGTTTTAGGTTTGGTTGTTTTCTTGGAATTTCCTGGAGATGAATAGTGAAGAGAAGTGTCTTTATTTTACCAGCCCTACTTACCCTTGGCCGAAGAAGAGTTTTTCCTTTAGACTGTTGATATTATGTGAAATACTGACAGCTTAATGGACCAGTAGGTTGATATGTACCCTGGAGGAAATTTGGGTATGTATTCACACAGCTGCAGATGAGTGCAACATTTGTAAATAGACTAAGTCAGATGAGGATAAGGATGTTAAAAAAAAAATGCTTAGGGGCAGTCAGTTTTATGGAAAATATGTTTTATTCTTGTATAAGACTCTGAGGAAAATGTTTTATGCCAACACCAGTTTTCTTGTTTGGCTAAA